CTGCTGGGACCTCTTAATAGATGGAACGCGCGCTTGCGCCATGGACGCGCCTCCGTTCAGAGCCTCACGACCACCGCGCGTCAGGAACCATCGCACTCGGGCCTCTTGAAAAGGGGGGGGGACTACAGGGTGTTGCGCGAACCCGTCTGTCTCTGGATTGGTGGGACCACTCGGGTAGAACATCGGCTTGAGGACGAAGGCGCATCTTTGTTCATAACCGTATGACCACCGTGGACACTCTTCCCTCCTCCGTGCCTTCTCCTCTTCCCCCCTCTCCTCCTCCTCCTCCTTCTCCTCCTCTTCCTCCTCCTCCTCCTCCGCGAGCGTAGCCGACTCCTTCTTCACCTCCTCCTCCTCCTTTTCCTCCTCCTCCTCTTCATCACCAGTCCTCACATTTACTCTCTCCTCTCTCCTCCTTCCCCTCCCACGGCCCACTCACATCCAGACTCCTCCATAACCAACCATTTACACCCAGCTGCTCATGCGATCACGCTCGCTCTTCAAATGAACTCAGACCCACACAAACGTAACAACTCACACTCATATCCGCTAGCAGTCTGACGTACTCACGCACACCCATTTATCCCCATGCCCGCCCATTCCCATATCCACTAACACTCAGGCCCGCTAGTTCTCAATTCCAATATTGCACCCCCCACTCACAATCATACCAAATCGTGTTCGATCGAACATTGCCTGGATCGCCCATACCCAGACTCGCTTGCGTTTCTACCCGTTCATGTTTAGGCAAACGTGAGCCCAGTTACCACTGCGAAATGGCTCAAGTTCAAACTCGAAGGCGCCGAAGTGCTCCTAACGCGCACTGCTTTTGTCGGGGCGGGCTCGTGCGAGAACGGGCTCTTGCGTGATGGGGTTCGGCCCGTGAGTGGGCAAAGGCCGTGTGAATTATGAGAATCTCCGGGGCCCGCGCGCGCCTGGGTTCTAGCACGCACCCGCCCTTGAGAAGACTATGAGGTGGTCGCGAACTGGCCATCGCTCGGACGTCCACTCCCTGTGTTTTTTATTCGGTGTCGTGCGTGGTTGTTTCGCCGAATGATCAAGGATGCTCCTCGATGGTCCTCCCCGAAGGAAAAAATGCATACGTCCGAGCGAGGCCAGGCGACTGCGCCGTCCGCTCTTCGCGGCGGGGGATGGCGCCCCAGAGACCAGGGAGGTGGTCATCACGCGCTCCGCCGGGCGGCCTGCCCGTGGCTGGTCCTCGTGGGAGGGGGGGCGCCCTGGGGGCCGCAAACTGGCTGCGGGCTCGAGGCGGGAGAAATGAGACAACGGGGGGGGAGGGCCTCCTGGGCCCCCCGCGTGTCGCGTGCCGAGGACTCCCGGCCTCCGCTCACCACCATATGCACGCGTTGTGGGTACGGACCGCCTTCGGTGAAGCTCCCTTTGGGGCCACGACACGTGTGAGGGGCGTGCCGAAATGGGGGCGGTGGTGCTATGCGGGCGCTGCTCTGGGGCCTTCGTGGTGAAGCTCCCTATGGGGCCGCGAAGCGTGCGAAGGCTGTGCCGAAACGAGAGCGATGGTGCCATGCCAGCGCAGCCACTTGGGTCCTTATGTGGAGCTCCGTATTGGGCCGCGAAGCGTGTGAAGGGTGTGCCGAATTGGGCGCGGTGGTGTTATGCGGGCGCTGCCACTGGGGCCTTCGGTGGAAACGTGTACAGGGTGCGCCGAAAGGGGCACGGTGGTGCAATGCGTACTCATCCAGTGGGGCCCTCGGTGGTGCTCCCTATGTGGCCACGAAGCGTGTTTCAGGGGTGTGCCGACATGAGCGCGGTGGTGCCATGCGAGCGCAGCCACTGGAGCCCTCGGTGGAGCTCCTTCGGGGCCACGAAGCGTGTGACTGGTGTGCCGAAATGGGTGCGGTGGCGCCTTGCGAACGCAGCCACTGGGGCCTTCGGTGGGGCTCCCTATGGGGCCACGAAACGTACGGGGTGTGTGCCAGAATTTGCACGGTGGTGCCATGGAGGCGCAGCCACTGGGGCCCCCAGTGGAGCTACCTACGGGGCCACGAAGCGTGTGAGGGGTGTGCCGAAATGGGTGCGGTGGCGCCTTGCGAGCGCAGCCACTGGGACCTTTGGTGGGGCTCCCTATGGGGCCACGGAGCGTGTGAGGGGTGTGCCGAAGCGGGTGCGGTGGTGCCAGCGAGAGCAGCCACTGTGGCCTTCGGTGGAACGTGTGAGAGGTGCGCCGAAACGGGCGCGGTGGTGCCATGCGAGAGCAGCCACTGGGACCTTCGGTGGAGCTCCCTACGGTGCCACGAAGCGTGTGAGGGGTGTGCCGAACTGGGTGTGGTGGTGATGCGAGCGCAACCATTGGGACCTTCGGCGTAATTCCCTACGGGGCCACGACACGTGTGAGGGATGTGCCGAAACGGGTGCGGTGGTGCCATGCGAGCGCGGCCACTGGGGCCTTCGGTGGATCATCTTATGGTGCCAAGAAGCGTGAGGGGTGTGCCGGCACGGATGGGGTGGTGCCATGCCAGTGCAGCCACTGAGGCCATCGATGGAGCTCCCCATGTGGCCACCGAGCGTGTGAGGGGTGCGCCGAAATGGGCGCGGTGGCGCCCTGCGAGCGCAGCCACTGGGACCTTTGGTGGAGCTCCCTGCGGGGCCACGAAGCGTGTGAGGGGTGTGCTGAAACGGGCGCGGTGGTGCCATGCCAGCGCAGCCACTGTGGCCTTCGGTGGAGCTCCCTATGGGCCACGACATGTGTGAGGGGTGTGCCGAAACGGGCCTGGTGGTGCCATGCGAGCGCAGTCACTGGGGCCCTCGGAGCCACCAGACGTCTGAGGGGTGTGCCGAAATGGTTGACTTGTGCGGAGGGCAAAGGCAGGGATGGGATGAGGGAGGAGCGGGAGGAGGAGGAGAGGAGAGGAGAGGGATGCGGGACCCTGTCTCTTCAAAACGAGGACCCAACACCATAGGATGGTTGGGAACATGTAGACTTTCCATCAACCTAGTGAAGGCTTTGGTTTCTTGCCCCCCTCTTTTGTGTCCTCTGAGAACCCTCTCGGGCCGTCTTGGGGGCCTCATCAATCGCCTGGAAACCATCTTGGGCGTCTTGGAGCGCTCTTGGACCGTCTCGGAGGCCTCCTGGACAGTTCGGCAGCGCCTTTGGGCCCGTCGCGCACCCCAAATGGGTTCCGGACAGCCAGGGGCACAGTGGGCACCAAGCGGGGGAGGTTTGGAAAAGCGGGTCGCCTCCAGGCCCGAGGGCCCGGTTGCCGAATGTATGTATGTGTATATATATGTGTATATATACACATAGACATGCACATATGTACATTGTATGGTATAGACCAATCGCCAAACAAGTCGATAATGCTGAATGAATACATAAATCAGCAAACCAACGCATCAATCCATCGATCTTTCAATATATACATACAAACATAAACACATGCTTATGTACATGCGTAAATCAGTAAATGCATAACTATCAGGGGACCGCGCTGGGACACTGCTTGCCGAAGGGGGATGGACATAACAAGGTGGACAGCTCCCGAGGGTAGCCCCCGAAGGCGCGCAGAGTGTTCGCCTGCCCTGATGCATCACGATGCCCCCCTCCCGAGAACGGACGAATCTGCATCACGGCTGGTGCCTCACAACGCCGCCTGGCACCACGCGAGCGCCGCCAGAACACCGTCTGCGAGGCAAACGGACAAGGCCCCTGGGCCTGACGCGAAAAAAAAAGACACCGAATCATTTTCGAACGCCTCCTCGCTTCTCGTGGAACCCGCGCGATTCCTCTCCCCTCAGCCGCCCAGTCGGCGATCAGCCCCCATCAGGGGCCCGAGGTGCATGCCGCGCGCGGCGCGGAAGCCAACGGAACTGCGCCGGCGAGGCACCGCTCACCTCGACCTGCGCCGCTCGCCATCTCGGTGCGGTAAGCCGTCGCACCCCTCGTGCGTGACGAGGGGGCGGACGGGGGACCAGACCAAACCAGAACCCGTGAGCTCCGACGGTACAGTCGGGGCGTTGACCTAAGGAACCCTAAATAAGGAACGAGGCCCCTTTTTTCCATAAGTTAGACTTCGATTTCCTATCGAAAACATAAGGAGAACCTGAGGCAAGCTGTGAAACACTTAAGGAACGCGGAACCCCTCCCCAACAAAAAGGGTTCCTTCTTCAGGGCCCCGACTGTAAGAACGGCCTTGCGAGAAAGAGACTACGGCAAGTCCGTGTCGTGTCGACCCCAGCGCTGGCTTCTGACACCGCGGGGATCGTTCAGCCCTGAACGATCGGACGTTTCCGAAACGTCAGCTCGTGCAGCATCGACCGGTTCTGGGTCGCCAGCGGCGCTCCACGTTGAACGCCAGCGGCGGGGTCGCCGCCGGTCGACACGACGCGAACCTGCCGTCAGCGGCAACCAAGAAATCCTATCGGATCTGAAGGAATGGCGCCATAGGCCATGGACGCGCCATCTCTGCGGGGGGGATACCCTCTGGCGCAGCCGGGGCCCCAAAAGGGAAGACACACGGGGCCCCGTGTGGGGGCTCCCCGTCAGAGCGGGACTGATGGGGACGCCTTGCCCATCCAGCCCAGCAGCTGACGGAGGCGACAGGGTCGGGTGGGGGCAAACAAGCACGGGGAACGAAGAATGACACAAACATAAAAAAGCAGAGGTCCGCGCGGATTTCTCGGATCCGCGCTGGACCCCCCTGGCGGCGCCTCCGGCGCCGCCCCTGGCGCGCTCCGCACGCCAGGGATTGGGGTCCAACGCCGAACGCGGACCTCCAACTCTTTATGCTTATGTCATTCTTCGTTCCCCTTCAAGCACCCTTCGCGTCCCTGGCATTGGCCAGGGGCTCTCCTTGTGCGCATGGAGCACGTGCCAGACGAAGACGGAGTGGAAAGGTGGGGCTGAGATATCATGACCTGGTGGGGATGGGGATCGATTAAACGATATACTGAACGCAAGAGACAAGGTTGGATGGGGGGCAACCAAGCACCCTTCGCGTCCCTGGCATTGGCCCGAGGCTCTCCTTGTGCGCATGGAGCACGTGCCAGGCGAAGATGGCGGCGAAGAGCACGACCAGGACGGAGCACGCGCCCACGACGGGGAGCACCCAGGACATCGCGGACGGGTCGTGGCCCCTGTCTCGCCTGCAGGTGGCGCAGGTCAGATGGTAGCTCTGCGCTGGTCCACTGCCGAGGAGGCCAGTGGGAGAGACTACAGAGAGAGAGAGAGAGGAGCACTCAACATATACTTACAACCAATCACTGTACATCGACATGGAGATAGCTCGCATAAAAAGAGATATAGGGAGAGGGAGGGAGAGAGAGAGAGAGAAAGAGACAGTGTGTCAGAGAGAGAGAGAGCGACCTAGATCACTAGCGACATGTTTGCATAGCGATGTACTTATACAGTTATACTGCTGTATACAACTATCTGACGAGAGAAAGATATATATATATATAGAGAGAGAGAACAAAAAAAAGCGAGAGAGAGAGAGAGAGACAGAGGGACAGATATATACATACATGCACACATATACATTACAAAGAGAGAGATAGAGAGAGAGAGAGAAAGAGAGAGAGAGAGGGAGAGGGGAGAGAGAGAGAGAGAGCGGGCGAGAAACACACAACAAAAAACAAACGATAACGTGAGACGGCGAACAAAACCGGTAGATGTATCGGAGAAACGAAGACAGAAGGGATCCGCTGGGAGAGAGGGAGGGCGGGAGGGATATAGGTGCTTATATATACATATATAGGTATATATATGCATGCATGCATGCATGTATGTATGTATGCTTATATATATATATGCGCATGAAAGATTCGAGGGCAGGAGACACACATATCTATATGCATATACATCTGTATACTTTTACATATACTTTACATATAAGAGGTGAAGCATGACGAACCCATTGCCCCAAGAGCCCGCTGCGTGCTTTTATCTCTCCTGCAGCACACACGCCAATCTGGAAATGCAGCATGCGATGCCATACATGCATGTTCAAGACCTGGCCTTGGACGACCTGTCTGGACGTTACCAATGGAACGGCGGTACTGAGGCTGTCTCTCTCTGTTGGCATTTCGTGTGAGGTTGGTGGAGCCAGAGGAAAGATAGGTGAGCTTTCGCGTATGCCAGATGCAGACCTCTTCTGACATTGCATCTCGGTGGTTCTTGGTTATGCGCGCTTTGCTTCCAAATGTGCCTCGGCTTCCCACATAAGCACCTACGCGCATGCACATCAAAACATGCATCCCTTCTGCAACCGGCGAGCCTCTGGCAATAACCCAGTTGCCCGCGAGATTACGCACGGGTGCCAAGCTGTGGGTAAAAACTGGTTTGAGCCATAACGGCAAGGTGGCCCACTGCAGTCAGAGCACCCAACGGACGTTCAATGAAACGGGGATGGGCCCGTGAACCTCCTGCAAGTTACACCCCCCCCGCGCGCATGTCATGCCCCGGCTGTAGCCGAACAGGCAAACCTACCAGAGAGACTGGCCACCCTTCGCTGTGCGGCCCAAGAATGACTTGACCATGCGAAGCGAGACGTGGGACAATCTAATTCGCCGGCCCAACGGGCCAGAGGCGTGCTAAGATCTCCGGTAACTGCTAAATAGTACTTCTACTTCGCGCGCGCGGGGCCGCCCCTGGGGGTCCCCGGACGAAAAGTACCCCGGCAGGGTCCCGGCAGACTCGGGTCAGACATGGTTTTCCTCCTGGGCGCCGCCCCCGAAGCCCTCCAAGAGGCCCCCACGAGGCCCTAAAGAGGGCTCCAGGGCCGGCGGAATGAGCGAAGCGATTAAATCAATTTACCCCCAAATGTTTGTCATCGCTGGTAGGAATTAGATATGGATGGCTTCCTGCCGCCCTTACTTCCTGCTCTGTGCGGGCCGCCGAACCAGAAAGGCAGCAGCCTGGAGCCGAGCCGGCGTGCTTCCGGACGCATCCGCCGATTGCCGAAGGACGCAGAAACGACCTGCGGTCAGCTTCGGACAGAGAGGCGTACTGCTTCGAGGCTCGCCTCAAGCTGTGGGGAGCTGTCGCAACTTGACGGTTGCTCCAGGAAGCTGTAGACTACACTTGGGATGGGGGCGAATGGCTAAAGTTGGGCATGCTATACCTGGCCTCGGGCAAAGTATGGCCTTGGTCCATGTCGAGTCGGACTTGCTTACTTTTCTCGCGGCGGTGCGATCGATACGTAAAGATGCAAAGCATGAGGAGAGTGCTCCCTGACGCTCGTCAATTGAACAATGCCTGATACGGCGCTGTGGCGTTGTCCTCGACACATGGGCATTCCACGTGTTTCTTCCCATGCTTGTGAAGAAGCGCGCTCGTGCAGCGGAGAAGCGGCGAAGCAAATCAGGCAAATCACCGCGGCCGACGAGAGCGGCGGAAATCGATGCGAATGTAGCGGAGGAGAGCGACTTCGATGTGTGTGTGTGTGTATGTAATCTGCTCGGAGACAGGTACATCCCTGGGGAGACCCCAACGATGCGCAACCGATCGGCAACATGCTGAGTCTGGGTTGCACGTAGCACAAGTCGCCGTCGCCAGTACAGCAAATAATAAGGATGCGCGGTAAGGATGCAAGGGCCTCGGAGGGCCATGTTAACATTTTTCGGGCGAGGTTGACCAACAACAACTGTTACGGATGGGCCGAAGTGGCAAGGATGCAAAAGTAATCTTGGAACCTCGCTCATCCTTCCTGCGCGGGTTGACTGTAATCCCATCCCAGGCGGTGGCTCACCACCTACCCTCCTCGGCAATCCTGAAGCCTCGCCCCCCCTGGGGGCGGCGAAGGCTCACCAGCTGCCGAAGAGAACGTGGGCGGTCGGGCGTTGCCCAAAAGTGCCCCTGGCCTCTAGTTCTGAGGAGTTCTGAGGAGTCCTCACGGAGTTCTGAGGAGGCCTCCACGGCCTCCAAGAGCACCCTCCACGAGGTCCCGAGGTCCCGATGCCCCCCCCAAAGGTTGAGCGAAGAGCTGGGGCACTTTGGGCCAGGGGCACCTGTCGCACTCCCCGAGGCGGAGCACGGGCGGGCAGCCGTTCCCTCCTCCTCAGCCTCCTCCTCCTCCTCCTCCTCCTCCTCCTCCTCCTCCTCCTCCTCCTCCTCCTCCTCCTCCTCCTCCTCCTCCTCCTCCTCCTCCTCCTCCTCCTCCTCCCCCCCCCCCTCCTCCTCCTCCTCCTCCTCGTCCTGTCCACCGCCCCCGGCGGACAAAAACGGGGCGGCCCTAAAAGGCCAGGCAGGGCAGGCGGAGGTGGGCCAGCCGACGGGCTTGACTTAGGGCCCCCCCAGACGCCAAGCCCAACCCCTCACGCACGGCAGTCGGACACCACGACAACGGGCGGGCAGCCGTTCCTGTCCACCGCCCCCGGTCTGCTCGACTTTTTCCTCGGCGCTCGGCGCGCAGGGGCAGCACGCGCCGCCCGCCGCGAAGGTCTCCCCGCTCGAGCTGGACGCGGCGTCGGACGCCCGGTCGACCTGGGAGGCGGGGGTGGGCAGCCGTGGAAGCGGGGAGATCGCCGCCCCTGCCTCCGCATCCTCCTGTCTCCCCCGCATCGCTCCCGCAGGCGGCCCTGCCTCCCCTGCACCTCTCGATCGCTCGCTCTGCCACCTCTCTGCGCCCCTCGGCTGCTCCCTCTCCCTCCCTGCGCCCGCCGTCGTCGCAAAAACGGCATGGGCATCCCATCAGCCCTCTCGGCGTAGGTGCTTGAACTGTCGCCAGCCAGGGTCAATGCTAAGCCTCCCGGTATACCTTTCAGGAAGCGTTGCCACATTCACTTTGCGCAGACGCTGTAACACATTCGGGCACCCCCTGGTCACGCTGTACTGCTCCCAACCGTCATATGGTGTTGGGTCCTCGCTTTGAAGAGACAACGCCCCGCGTCACTCCTTCCTCCTTCCTCCTGCCGCTCCTTCCTCCTCCCACCCTCCCTTGGGGAACTCCCCGAAAGCTCCAGAGGCAATGTTCATGTGCGTCTCCCCCGCCCATTACGGCCCCCCACCGCGCGTTTCGTGCCCCTAAAGGGAGCTCCAACGAAGGCCACAATGGCAATGCTCACGTGCACCCCCCCCCCGCCCACTGACCCCTCAGACCTTTCGTGGCCCCATTGGGAACTCCACCGAACGTCCCATCGGCAATGCTCACATGTGCTTCCCCCCGCGCCAATTACGGCGCACCCCTCGCACATTCCGTGACCCCATGAAGAGCTACACCGAAAACCCCGACGGCAATGCTCACATGCGTTCCCCCCCGCCCATTCCGGCACACCCCTTGCACGGCTCGTGGCCCCAGGGGGAGCTCCAACGAAGGCCCCAGCGGCAATGCTCACATGGTCCCCCCACCCATTCCGGCACACCCTCACGCGTTTCGTGGCCCCTGAGGGAACTCCACCGAAAGCCCCATCGGCAATGCTCACATGCGCCCCTCGCACAGTACGGCGCACTTCTCATACGTTCCGTGGCCCTGGAGAGAGCTCCACCGAAGGCCCCAGTGTCAGCGCTCGCATGCGCCTCCCCGCCCATTCTGGCGCATTCCTCATACGTTTGGTGGCCTCACTGGGAGCTCCACCGAAGACGGAACTCACAACTGCGCCACTAACAACTGCAAAGCATGTATGGGTCCTTCACCAGGACCATTGCTGAACGGGACGGGGGGTGCTATCATACTGCCCCACCTGTGCATGCTCACCATCCCTCCCGAACGACACTGAATGCAACGTGCACCTTGCGACGCCATATTTGACTATGCGCGGGCGCCCCGCGATAATTTTGCATACTTATTTTGACACGGGGGATAGGGGTTGACCTGCCCGCGCGGCGCATCTTGCGGGCGTCGCGCACCTGGCTACCGCCTGCAGTGGTTCCCGACGGTTGACAAATGGCGGCTCCTGCCCATGCTGAGCCTGTGGTGCTACTCGTGTGGTGTGAGGGCGGGTGGGAGTGAGCGAGGCAGCAGTACTCCCTGGGGTAGCTTGACCCCTCCCTCCCCATCTCCCCTCCACCTGGGTCTCGAAGGGGTGGGGGGGAGCGCCGCGAGGTGTCAGAAGGCCCCTGTTGGCCCACTGTGGTTCCAAGAGGGGTCCACATGTCCCGAGATGGCTTCCACGATGGCTCAAGGCAACTCACTGCGGCTCAACCCAAGGCTGTCCCAACACGACCCAACGTGGCTACGGAGTCTCTCAAGGACGTCCCCGAGCGGCCCAACTCCTGTCACAACCTCCTGACGACAATGGGATACAATGTCATAGTTGGTTTCTGCTTCCGACTTGCGCTTGGGGCCTCACGATGGCTCAGCGACAGCCCAAGAGGGCTCCAACAGATGCCCACGAGGGTTCCAAGAAGACCCCAGGAGCGCCCACGAGTGCCCCAACAACGACCCAACAGCATCCCAAGAGCGAGTTGTTGGTCCCCCGACGGGTGGACACGAATTCAGGACTCTTCCTTCTTTGGTCGATGGCCTCCGCGACGGCCAACGATGCCCCCCAGTAGCCCGAAGATGGTACCAACAGAAGCCCAAGAGCCCCGCTAGGGCTTCCAAAAGAGCCCCAAGCAGGTTTCACGATTGCTCCACGAGGCTCCTGGGAGGCCCTCAGAGGCCTCTAGATAATTGCTGGCTTCTCTTCTTCACAATGTATGTATCCACGTCCCTCCTCCCGCAGCTCCACTTGGCATCGTCTCTGGATGGACGATCTTCCTCCCACATGATCCTCTGTTTCCCATCTTTTGTTTCCCTTTTCCCCTCGTCCTCCTCTGGCGTCTTTTGGGGCACTACACCGCAAGACAGTCGACGACACATAATGCACATGACGTCGAAAGACACATATACCCCGTGGGGTGCCACAGGACGTCTGGATGCATATACAGCACAGCACGCCTGGAGGCACACATTCAACATACCGTCTTGGGACAGCTATACCACAAGGCATGTGCACACATTCTAGTACCACAAGGCGGATGGGGACAACTATCTCACAGGGCGCATGGAGTCACATGCACCACAGCACTCTGGGACATGCATATGCAACAAGCCACACGACGTTCAGAGCTACATAAAGAAAACAGGACGTCCAGAGGCGTAATCATTCATTCATTCATTCATTCATTCATTCATTCATTCACATCTATATAGGTATAGATGCGTGTCTACATATCTGTATATTTACACATACACCACACGTCGTCTTGTGAGACACCAGGGGCCAACAACTAGGCGCACTCGTAAGCCATGGCGCTGAGAAACAACTATACCATCGGGCGTCTGGACATACATCTGCCTGGGTGGGTAAACATTTAAGAGGACTTCCTGCAGGCAGTATATCAAAATGTCTGCATGTTC